ATCCATCATTGTTTTCCCAATATAGCTATATTAAATTCACTCTACCCTTTAAATCCTAGGCTTCCAGAAGCTTTTGGGCTGCACAACGCTCTCCAACCTTTCCGTCAGATGCCTCTAATGTGAAACCATTGCCTCCCCACCTGTACCCGTTCATAAGCCGCTCCATCTAAATAATTAAATTATCTGGTAGTAGAAACATGTTTATAGCATATGTGGACACAACTTGGATAACCGGCTTGAATAAAATTTCTCTACCTGCTTTACAAAGAAACCAATTGATAGATAATAGGATATCTAAACATATAATTAATGGAGATTAGCCTACACATGTAGCCCAACTACGTAAAACGCTAATTTAGTAAATATAAATGAAATGTGTGTTGTACAATAATATAAATGATGTCTGTGTAGGGTCCTCTATCAAGGTCCAGTAGTAATGAGATCGGGGGTCCAAGTCTATATAGTCTATCACCAATTATTTCAACTCTACTATTTTTGGTACTCAAGTGTGTCCCTCTTCTTCCTCTCAACTAGTGCAAGCATCCTCAAATATTTACTCGAGCACACCCCTTGATTAACTGTCAATAACGTACACACATCATGTTGTAGAGTAATCCCCATATTAGCACTGAATCAAACACTAGATTTGTCAAAACTAATTATATGCCCCGTAAGATCCTCACACTCCTTTAAAATTCCTTTTACTCCCTAACATTGTTCTATCTTTGCTTGAAAAAATAAATGCATTTGCAACCAAAATGTGAGAAATTATTGGCACCTTTATTGCCACCTCAATTCTTCCAAACGTGACATTAGATTCTTGTTTCCGTATCAACACACTTAATTTTTCTGATACTAAGATGAATAAATAAGCTGATAGAGGATCCCCTTGAAGACATAATAGGCTTGATAAATGATAACTAAAATGTCAAAGGGGATAACATGGAGCATATTTAGCGTAAATATAGTCTTGGGTTCAAAATTCGGTTCATTAGGTAAAAATCTTGTAATATTTTGAATCCGACATCTGATTACGAGTTTTGGAACTCGATAAGATCTTTCCAACGAGATAGAAAAATCTTGAAATATTACAAATTAAAACAATATATGATCATATCAAACACTACACGAGTTCGAAGTGATCTGGTTAAATCTGTACGTTATCCTTAATATATTGTAAATGAAGTAGAAAAAGTAATTTTAGAACTCAAAATGATCTTTTCAACAAGATATTAAACGCTTCAAATGGAAGAACATACATAAAGATATGATCAAATCAAATACTTAGCTTGTTTTCTGTAAATAGCGTTTTTAGTGTAAATAGAGCATATTTTGCGTAAATAAAGTGTTGGATTCGAAATTCAGTTCATTAGGTAACAATCCCGTAATATTTTGAAACCGACGTCTGAATACGAGTTTTAGAACCCGATAAGATCTTTCTAATGAGATATAAAACACTGATGAGGAACAGTGTATTCAATATCCAGCAGGTGCGACACTCTTTCTCCAGAAAGTTTGGACGTAGAATGCCAAAGTTATCCAACAATAGAGTTTACATAAACTTACCCTATAGATATATAACATCTGAAGGTTAAAATTTCGTATTACAAGAAGCATACGAGCTCAAAACAATGCTGACCCAATTTAATAACTAATCTATTATTAATAATACACAACTACATACAAAGATAACTAATGCAATTGTACACAATAAAATAATTCATAGCCATCATCCCCTTTGTGTCAAATTACATTGTAGCGCAGGTTTTCTATGTCTTTGTGTTGACTAGCTTCGCTCCTTAGTGTTCAGCTTCAAAAGATGCTCAAATCATCTCGTCTTGTTGCTTCTGAAACATGTTCCTTCTTTTTTGAAACAAGTGCCTTTTCTGAAACAAGCCCCTTCTTTACATTGTTGCTCATGATCAACATGAGTGAGGTCCAATGTCGCCTTTAGAATAATTATTCGGTTAAGTTCCAAGCACGCATGGGCTTCATCTTTCATTTCAGATTTTCTAATCTAAGTTTCCTCTAGAATGTTATCTTTTTGACTGTGTGATCGGATATTGAGGAGTACTTGTCGGTGACCAGTTGTGTGGACCAGATTTGATAGGACGTGTAGCACGTGGAAACATATTTATTCAAGCACCAATCCAGTGATGATAAATTGGATCTCAAACTCTCTAAGATGTGTCCGGTGGGGGTACTGGCCTCTTCTAGTGAATCCAATAATGATTGAGCAACTGGAGTCATTAAGAATTACATGTGCTATTATGGAGGAAGCCATCTATTCATTTGATGGAGGAGAGATGTGTCCTATAATGATGTGTGTTACTTCAAAACGCGTGAACCATTCCCCGTTATCACGATTAGATCCATCAAAGCATCATGCCCCAAATTCTGAAAAATGAAAGAAAATGGGTAAAAAAATCCAAAAACGCAACGATGTTCTGTTATCACAACATCAATGTCAAACACTGATGTGTGGCTTGCAGATAATGATAGAGGCGTTAAAGATCTAGCAGGGCTTCCGACCAATTATCGTGAAACATCTAAAGTAGACGTCACTCTGATCGTTGTTGCATGTTGCAAGATCACAAGGATCGTTAGCTCATTTTCAGAGTTCATTGATTTACAAAATCTTTATAGTATGCACCTCGAAACTCTAGAAGGAGTTTACGTGTACATCTGATAAAAGATAAGAATGAATTAGGTGGAATGTAACAGATACCTCGGAACCCCACAAAACAATAAATTTAAAAGAAATTTTTGAAAGGATAGATTAAATATGAACTATCTCGATAGATTAAGACTAAATTAAAATCAAAATTCTCATTTAGACTAAAAATGTTAACTCATTTTTTGAGTTCCGAGATTTAACAAATCCATACAGTATATACTGCGGAACTCCACAAGAAGTTTACGTTGCGCTTGATAAAAGATAAGGATGAGTTAGGTGGAACATAACAGATATCTCGAGGACTGCCCGACATTTTATAAATAGGTGGACTACTGTTCCTTCTTCCTACTTGCAAAAAGAACAATCTCTGATTACCTGCACCCTTTTCTTTTTTAAAAGACCAACAGTAGGAAAAGTACCACTAGTGAATGGCCAAAAAACAACTTTATTTTAGGTGGAATTTGAAACCTCCCATCCAACTGGTCCAAAATGGTGGTTGAAAATATAATTCAAGTATATATTGTTTTATATAATTAAAGTAAGTTATAACATAACACTGAAAATAACTGAATTGACTGAACTGAAGTGATATAAAAAAAAACGTTTGGTAATATTGAAATTAGCTGAATTGCCCGAATATGCTTAAATTGATGAAATTCAAATTGTATTGGCTGAATATCTTGAATTGTGAAAAAATTAAATTTAAAATGTATTTTATTAGATAAACAAAGATAAAATTATGAAATAATTATAAAATTATGACTAAAATAAAGAGTGTACATATATATAATATGATATCTTAAGTGCAGTGACTATAGTAGTCATTTGGTCGTAAAAACTTATGTTCAAGTTTTACACTTAAGTGACTGTGACATTACACTTATAGTAGCTTTAATCATATTACTGTAAATAGGTCTTATTTTAGTACTCCTCCGTACCACTTTAGTTGTCCCATTTGTTTTTCACGGAGTTTAAGATAATTATTGTAGACTTAATAAAAAGCAAGAAATTTTTGATATTGTAACGGTACTGTAGCTACTTTTTGAGTGACATTCTTTACAAAAAGAAAAATGAAACAATTAAATTGATACATCAAAAAAGGAAAGTGAGACAACTAAAGTGATACAGAGGGAGTAATATTTTCCAAAAAAACTCTAAAATTGTATGAAAATGTAGCTAAAATAGTTATCTTCAGCAATTCCAGCCAAAATCGGCTGAATCGGCTTGAAAAGTAACTCTAGAGCCTGTTCGGTAATACCAAAACCGACTGATTCTGCTGAAACTTGAAGTTCTGACTAAAGCGGTTGGATTAACTGATTTTGCTTATTTATGTAAAAATTATATTTTAAATAGATTTTATTAATAAAATAAAATAAACTTATATGAAAAAATAGCTAAATTATCCTATCCAGTAACTTCAACAAATACAACCACAAATGTAACTATAATCTGGCTTTTTCTTATTATTACATAGTTCAGCGTGTGAAATCATAAAGTACGTATTTGGTGAAAAAATTGGTTGGTAATCTTGATATGCCAAAAAACATGGTTGCAAATGGGCTTCTAATCTTACTTATTTTGATTATTACATAATACAATTCGCGAAATAAAAATTATGTGTTTGGTATAGAAATTGGCAGATAAGGTTGGTAAGATAGAGGTTAATTACCAATAAGCTTTTTATTTATGTATTATTTGGTATGAAAGGAAGAAGATATAGAAACGAACAGAAATTACATGATTAAGAGACTATTTGGTGACTATTTCTCGGTTTATCAGTCTTCTCAGCCAATTTTAATTTTTCACCAAACATGTAACTTTTGAATTCTTCCGGTGAAATATGTAATAATAAAAATAAGTAAGGTTGAAGTTTTTTCTGACTAAATGAGTTGAGGTTACTGTAGAGGACCATTTTAGCTATTTTCATATATTTTTTTGTTATTTTATTATTGTATTTTAAATATAATTTTTCATAAATTATCATAATCAGTCTATCCATAACACAATAGATAGTGTTCAAACTTAGTTCATCCTAAAAAATCAATTTTATATGACTCTTTATTAGTTCCTCCGCCTCCCTGTAATTGTCCCATTTTTTTTTTATTTTTAGATGTCTCTCTATTATATATTGTCTCATACCATATTTGATAACATTTGTGTGACTCTAATTTATTCTTACTTTATTTCCATTTTATCAATACATTATCTATCACATAATTCTACTTTTCTTAAAAACCACGTCACCCTATTCCGTGCTAATATTAGGAGGATATAGGTGGTAATTCATACTCCGTATTTACTAGTGTGAGAAATATTTTAAAACCCCGCTTCACGCACAAACACTTTGTGTGGACCGTGCATATTCATTTCTCACCGATTCATCATAATTATTGTCATTTTCATAATAGTCATCAATTTTTAATAAAGCTAAAATAACATTGAGCCATAGGTAGGTACGTAAAGTTTACTCTGAAACTGATGACACTCATCAAATGGGAAAAACAACGTACAACCTGACTTAATTTATTCACTCCATACCGATCATAACACACTGATTGAGATTATTAATTAATAATCTCTTTATTCAGAACAGAATGACGATAATGACAATCACAATATGCAAGCAATATCAAGTGAAACTTCTTTCCATCCAAGAAAACAATATATATATATATATATATATATATATATATATATATATATATATATATATATTTGTTATTTTCTTTAATGGATGTTTAGTTATTTCCCTTGAAGCGAAAAACATCAGCCCCCCAAGAATTAGCGGAATCAGCAACGGCTTGAGTGGGCTTATCCACTTTCACAGACACATTGACCGCCGACATATAGTCATTCTCTTTCAGAGCAGTGCTTGCAACAGCCCCAGCTATTTGCAGAAGATTGGTGTACGAACTCCCTGCTTTCACTATTTTCTCCACTGACCTGCACATCCGTGCACATTATATTACGCTCTATAAAAACAGAGAAATGTCTATGACAGACAAAAAAAATCGATGTGAAAAGCAATTCTCTTTACAAAACCAAAAATGTTATGTGCACGGACCATTCGACCAACTTGAAAAAGGCGTGTACAATAAATGTGTACATGAAGCATAGTTGATCAAAATAACCGGCTCATATTCTAATTACACAACCTATAAAAATAATAATTCGAGACTAACTTTTTTATATTGGTGGTTTTCTTTGAATATTACTAATAAAAAAGTCATGGAGAAAATGTGACTTAATAACTATTAATGAGTACAATTGTGTTTAAAATTTATATCGTAGTGACTTATATGTACTTACTATCATATTTAACGATCAAATAAGTTGTACATGACGATTTGGTAGTAGATTTTGATTAATTTAATCACTGAATTGGTATTTGGAAAGTGGCTTCATATCGTTTTTGTTGAATATTCGAATAGTTAACCGACAAACCACTTTAATCTCTTAAGAGCATCTCCAATGGAGATGTTCATTGCATCTCCATATCACCAAATGCCTTTTTCTATGACAAATGCTCTCTCCAATGCAGAAAAAGGTCTAATCAAGCTTATGTGGCAAATGGAAAAGAGCAACTCGGTCTCACCGAAGGTCTCTTTTGGAAAGTGTGGGCCTATCTGCAAGGACACCCACTTACTTTATTGGAAGATTTGTAATTTTAGTCCTGTAACTTCCACCTGTTATTGTTATTGGTCCTGTAATTTTAATCGTTTGCAAATTTGGTTCTATAACTTTTAAATCTTAAGGACTATTCCTCTGGAAAGTACACTTTCTGGCAGAAAAATCCGACGCTGACGCCATATTTCTGGTTTACTATCGTTGGAAAGTGTACTTTTCAGGTGAAAAGTCCTTAAATTACAAATATTAATTAGTTACAGGACTAATTATGCAAGCTAAGTGACTAAAGTAACGAGACTAATAATAAAAACGATCAAAAGTTACGGGACGAAAATTGCAAATTTCCCTACTTTATTTAAGTTTTTGTTGCATCGGAGAGGTCTCCAAATGAACTCTCTCTATTTTGTAATATTTGGCAGACATGGTAAATATACCTTGTGCAAAATCTTGTCATTTCAGCTACTATGGACTCAATGCATTGGAGATGCCCTAACTCCACGTCTCCGCCCCTTGGTATATATGCTAATGATTATTTATTTCATGCGCACCAAACTAAATTTAGATATAATTAATCACGAGTACAAAAAGTTAATTAGAGATGTTATCATCTGGGACCTTTTTCATAAATATTACTTAATTTAATTCAAAGATAGAAAATGACTTAATTTGATTTTTTAAAGTGACATATTGAGTTATAGCAAGTTTCAATGCCTCATCATATCATCTACTAATGACAGTGTCACTTTGGAATACACTATATTCATATGTTTGCCCAAAAACACAACTAGTTATATTTAATTCAGCAAAACTTTGTTAGTAATATTCGTGTCATTTTTTTTATCATCTAGTACGTGGTACATGCATATATTATATCTCACCCAGATAAATCTGTCAAGGGATATTGTGGTATAGCTACACGCGGATAGATCCAAGCATCAACATCCACGAAAATGTCCTGGTTTAACCACTTGTACTTCAATCCCTTAATTGTGATTTTGTCTCCCCATAAACTACACATGAAAACAAATTTATGTCAAAAATTACGTTATCCATACACATTTCTCAGCAAATTTTATTTAAGATATAATATTTGAAGCTAAAAATTACTACCTAATACGGATGAATAATGAAAAAAGATTGAAAATTTCAAATTTTGAAAATTTATGATAAGACAAATTTGATAATATTTTTATAAAAATAAATTACTAATACAAACGTAGTGAGAGTAGAACGGGTAAATAGTCTAAAATTCAACCTGTTACACTTATTTAAAAGCGGAGTAAATATATTAGACTCAAAAAGTACATGCTACACACACATATATACTATCGTATATTAGAACCGCACAGTATATATGCATCTATAATTTGAATGAAACGAGAATGCAGGTCATCCATTTAGTGGCCGTACCAGACATGTGCATGCATGCACATTCAGAAAACAAAATGCATCATATATGCAGATGCCTTGAATCATTCTTGTTTCTCGTGAAAAGAAATACTCTCTGTCCCAAAACACGTTCGCTAAATTGACTTTTCTTGGTTAATGACAATCAACTTTAACTAATGATATTTTTTAATACGAAATTAATTTGAATATGAAAGTTATATTAATATGTTCCTTATTCAAAATATTTTCATAAAATTATAAAATTTACAAATTGTATACAAATATAATAATTAAAATCATTGTCCAAAGTTTGTCATATCAAGAAAAGTCAATATGGTGAACAATTTCGGGAAGAGAGGTAGTAGAAGTTATGGAAGTGGAACTAGACCCTCTATATGTGTATGCATAATTTTGTTGAAGGTTATAATCAAATGGCAGACCTGTTGGGAGGTGAGTTACTCAGAATCAAGTCGCTGCTCATGGTGGACTAGCTACTCTGATTTTCCAGCGATTGGATTTTGTTATGTTGTATGAATTTTACTTCTTCCCTTGCCACCATTTTATAGCTAATAAACGTACTGCATTACTAGCTAGCTCCCTGTACTTGCTAATCAGTGGCGGAACCAGGATTGACAGGTTACAGGAGCCGGGACTTAAGGAATATATATAGCAGGGGTCAAAACTTAAATTTTCACTATATTTTTTACTACTTATAAATATTTATACATATACTCACTTCGTCCCGAATTGAATGACAAACTTTGACCGGCACAAAGATTAAAGAATGACAATAAATAATGCTTGTTTTTTACACTTTTGTCCATCTTTCTATAAGTAGATGCCTTTAAGTTAATGGAGAAAAAGTAAATGTAAGGGTAAATTTGTCACTTTATTCTTATTTACATACCAAAAATAGAAAGTAGAAAATCATTGTGGGACAACCAAATAAAATAGGAAATTTTGCAAATCAAATTGGGACGGAGGGAGTATAAATGCATCACAATTTTTTTTCTTGCAGGGGCCGTGGCCACCGCCAGCCCCCTGTCTCCACCCCTGTTGCTAATCGAAAAAAGTGTCAACAATATCAAGACAAATTTATTATTTCATTTTTTTATAATCCCGGTGTCGGGGCTTACGCTCCCATAATCCTGTAGTCTATCAACTATCCTCCAAAACCCCAAGACAGTTAAATCCGGATCTGATCACAGTCAGCCTCATCAGTACTGACTCCAAAGGACGAAATCCAGCAGAACTTACATCACCTTTCAGACTGCTCCTCCCACCACACGAATCCGATACCTTCATTACCATCATCTCCCTTCTCAGCCGCTGAGCTACTCCATGAAGGTAGGAAAAATCATAGCAAAACCCCTCTCATCTCCCCTTGGTAGGAATTGAATCCAAAACCTCCCACAAAGGAGAGACTTGAGATGGATGGTCAGACTACAACCACCAACCCAGATTTATTATTTCATTAAATACACAACGGTGCTTTGCGGTGGAAGTGAAGAACCGATCGAAGCATGCAGCTGGCAAAACAATTGATGATGAGCCGTACGTTCTGAATGGTAGCTATCTTCAATAGTAAGAACACATTCATAACATATGTAGAGTGTAGACATAATTTGAATAACACTTTTCAACAAACTTCTCTCCCACAAAGAAATCAATTATTCCAATAATTACTCTATCCCTGATTACGTCCCCTAAAATTATTCTCGGTTTAACTTTGATCAGAATTTTAAAATGAGATTATGAGAATAAAGTGAAAATGTATATTTGTGGTTGAGTAATTAAGAAAAAAGTAAATTAATGGTAACCACACAAAACTTTCCAAAAAGAGAAATTAGAATAGGAGTAATTTTTTAGACATCCCAAAAGGGAAAAATAATTAAAATACCTCAAACTTTGAAGGTGTATGAGATAAACACTCTGAACTATCATACTACCTTCGTTCTATTTTAATTGCAACATTGGACATTTTGCACTATTTTATTAATACTAGCACTATTTATTGGACTTTTTCAAAATATGATTTTTTTAAATTTTTTTACTAATAAGGAATGAAAGATATTAATGGTCAAACTTGTGTGTTGGCAAACGTGAAATGTTGACGGTTGCAATTAAAAGGGAACAGAGAAAGTATGCAATTTAAATGCCTCAAACTTTATATAAAAAGTTATTTTACCACCATGGTCTGATGGTCATATATTATTTCTTTCAAAAATGTAAATTTATGGTATTCATTGCATAATTTAAAATAGCAAATTAAAGTGAATGTAGTATTATTTATTTTAAAGTTGAAGTTTAGAATGTTAATTGTATCTTCATGAATGCTATAATATTTTAAATTATGATATTAACACAAAAAATTAAGGGCCTATTTACTAACAAAGATATTTTCCAGTTTTTCAGAAAACTGGAAAACTGAAAAAAAAAAGAAAACAGAAAACGTGTTTACCAAAAAAAATGCTAGAAAACTGGAGAAAGGACAACATAAAACTGTGTTTATCAAATCGTTTTCCAAAACCAGAAAATTGAGATATGTCTCTGTTTTTCTAAATGAATTGGAGAAGTGACTTTTACTAGCTAGTTTTCCAAATTTTGAAAACGCGGATGCCGCAGTGCCGCTGCAATGAATTTGTATACCTACGCAAGTGTCGGATCCGGGTCAATCCGGTGTAAGTTTCAGTCCGGTACGGTCAATGACCCGATGGTCCCTATCTGGTTCGGTCAATGATTTGGCGGTCTGGTCCAATCATTGACCCGACGGTCCATGTTCGGCCCGGTAGACGGCAGAGCAATCCCGGTCTAGTCCGGTCGATGACCCGACAGTATTGGTCCATTCGATGACCCAACGGTCGTTGTCCGGTCCGTTCCACGACCCGGCTGCCCCTGTCCGGTCTGGTCCATGACATGACGGTCACTATCTGATTCGGTTGATGACTCGATTGTTTCCGTCCTGTCAGGTCAACCACCCGACGGTCCCCGTCATGTCCGATAAACGATCTGACGGTCCCCATCCTGTCTGAAAAATGACTCGACAGTTTGTATTCAATCAGATCACCAATCGGGCAGTTCCGGACTAGCCCTGTAAATGACCCAATGGTCCCTGTTCGGGCCGGTCAATAACCTGATGGTTCAATCTCGGGTTTTCAAAATCATTTTTTAAAGTGAAGAGTTTTAAAAAAGCCATTGAGTTGTCAACCAATAGGGAATTGAGAAAAGAATTCATCAAACTAATTATTGAGATCGATCGACTGGGGTCATACTTTCGGTGTTTTGGTCAGTCATATAACCGGGTAAAAAAGTTTATGGCCATGTTTTTCAGATTTGAAAATTGAAACCTAAAAAATGAAAACGAAAAATTGGAGATTAAAAAGTGGAATATGAAAACAGAAAATTAGAGAACAGAAAACAGAAATAGAAAACTGGAAGTTCGGATTCTGACTGAAGTTGCAGAATTGGCTGATTTTGCTGATTATGAAAAAATTATATTCAAAATATTTTTTATTAATACAATACAGAAAAAATTATATGAAAAACAGGTAAAATGATCATCTACAGTAACTTCAGCCAATACATCCAGAAAAGTAGCTTTAATGTTACTCTTTCTTATTATTACACAATCCAGCACGCGGAATCAAAAGGTATGCGTTTGGTGAAAAAGTTGGTTGATAACCCCAATAAGCCGAAAAACAAGATTATTAAACGGGCTCTGACTTTTATACACTGAAAAGATAAACATTTTTAAAATTTAGGGTGGGCTGAGGCCTACGTTTCACTTCCTAGCTACGCCCCTGCACTACTCCCTATACTTGCTAATAAAAAAACGTTAAATAAAACTAGAATAAACATTAAGTTCATAAACAAGATTATCTATCTTTGTTTTATTCTCAAAATATATGATTCGTTTACTCCTATTTTGGGAACTCTTAATCAAGTTATTCTTGTAAAATGATGAAGAATCCGTTTGGTAACAATGAAATTGGCTAAATCTGCTGATTCAGATGAAATTTATGAAGTTCTGACTAAAGTGAATGTATAGGCCGATTCTGCTGATTTATGAGAAAATTACATTTAAAATATTTTTTATTAATAAAATAACGAAAAAATTATATGAAAAATAGCTAAAATATTTCCTCTATAGTAATTCAAACCAATACAGCCGCAAAAGTAACTACAATATTACTCTTTCTTATTATTAAATAATTCAGAGCGCAAAATTAAAAGTTACGTGCTTGATGAAAAAGTTGACTGATAAGCCTAATGAGCCAAAAAATAGGGTCACCAAATGAGCTCAAAGTAAGTCCTGTTTGGGGAATAAAACATATTTAGTCCTATTTTTGAGCTTTGTATATGTTTTAGTATTATATTGAGCAATTTCTATAATGTCAACATTATTCAGAGACATTAGTTATTTTCAGAAAAAGAGGATGACACCCCATCCGTGAAGGCCCCCAGCACCCGCCGCACAGTTAACTGAGAGAATGTAAATTGGATTTGAATATTCGTAATATATTAGCAAAAGCGAGTGAGGCTTTTGTCCCGATACTTATAGAGGTCATATGTATTTTTACATAATATCCTCTCATCGTAGTTGCGACGTTTCGAATTCAAAAATTACCTTTTGGGGCACTCCTTACCTACCAGCTGAGCAACATAACGATCATCCGTGATATAATAATTATTACATTAAAATACACAATGGGGCTCTATGTGTGAGTAGTGGAAGTGGAAAAGAATTACACTCTGTCTCTAAGACTATTTGTAGTGGTGTAGTATCGAGTTCAAAATGTTAAATATGAAATTTTTGAACTTCTAATTTTATATAGTGGTAGGCTAAATGGGATAGTAAAAGTGGGAAAGTGGATGAAGGGTGATAAATATGGAGGAAGAATGGACTCCCAAGGCTAAAAAATGGTGGTTGTGCGTGGATGAGAGCATGAGAGAGGGAAGTGTGCAAGAATGAGTGGGTTTGTTTTTGAGAAAATCACATATATCGTCCCTCTATTATCCGCGAAATTGGAATCTCAGACTCTTATTACTGAGATTTCAAATCATACCCCCGAGTTGGCCCACTTACATTAAATGTCGCCCCGTCGTTAGAAGTCCAACTAACAGCATATGTTCTTCCATTTTATCAGGGGTAAACGCGTAAATTCCCATCTTTTAAGGTTTAAATCCCTAATTTCGTATCTATCTCTTCAACCTTCATTACCTCAACTCTTTATCACGCTTATCACTCCCAAATTCGAATCCTTTGCTTAAACCTCAAATACTTCTCTGAAAGCGGTCTCTTGTTGAAGTAAGAAGCAAAGAAACCACAAAGACACACAAGAAGAACGCAGAAGTGAAGACTACAGAATTAGTACGAACCTCAAGCTAAGTTACCCTAAATCGTTTGACGGTGGAGAACCTCCTGGAAAAATCCCACGTCCGAACGAATGAAGAAAATGAGAAGTTTTGGTGCGGAAGAATGAACTTTATCGGAAGGTTTGTAGTTAGATTAGGGATTTAAA